TTTGCGAAAACGAGAAGCAGCCTGTATAATACGTTGCATACTTTGGGGATGACACTGTATTATAATTTCTCCGGTGAAAATCTCACAATGAAATGTCATTTAAATGAAAATGAAAACCTCTTGCCTAAAATGAATTGAATTTAAAAGTTTGAGCACTAGAGTTGTTCCTCATTCTCAGTTTTACTATACATCAAAGGATCTTGCATTCGGAATTGAAAACAATAATGAGAATAGAATAATGTAATTTGCCACAAACAATTCAATTATTCACAAAACAAAATCTACAACTGTTCCAAGAATTCAAGAATAACAATCAGTAAATTATTCTGACTGAAGATGTTCTGGAAATTTTTAGTATCTATCGGAAGAGTGAAAAAGGAAAATTTTACTTATGAGATTTGATGAATTGATGGATGTAGCCGTTACTACGTGGTAGGAAATCATAATAAAGAAAAGAAAATTGAAACTTGCTATGTTTTTCAACACTTTTATTTGTAACTAACGTTACTGTAGTTTCGTCCTATAAGGACATTGCCAAACTCATACATTTAAACTGTTTAATGTATAAGTTTGAAAATTTCTTTATAGGACGAAACTGCAGTAACGTTAGTTACAAATAAAAGTGGTAAAAAACAAAAAGTTTCAATTCACTTTTCTTCATTATGATATTTACTATTTGGCTCTATCCCTTCTGGATTTGTATGAATTTCGTTTTCAATATTTCAGTACAAAAACATTTATGTATAAACAAATTTTTTGTTCATTCATTCAACAACAGATGAATCTATAATTCAACTTTTTGCAAGGAATCACGAGACATTTGGAATGAATTGAGCACTACAATCGTTACTACCTTGTTCATATGTTACAAAAAAACAAAATAAAAAAATCTATTTGATTTCTTGATCCATTCAAAATGATTTATATTAGTCACCATAAATTTTCTAGTATTTAAATCTCGATCAAACTCCATTGATGGAGAGGAAGACTAGATTTTTTATTTCAAATAACTTTCTAGAAGCTATTTAAATAATCAAGAAGTGTTCGTATACGCTGGTTGCATAATTAAACCATTCAAATGAAAAACGCGACAGGAAGCTTTAAAGTTAATAATATGCAAGCTGCTTTAATATTCATATTAGAAAACCAGAAGGATGTGACACGAGAACTTTGTGAATGCAAAATCATCCTTTTACTTCGTTGATTTCTATAATTGTAATTGAAGTCTAGTAAAATTATCGCTCACTGAATGAAGACCACCCATGATTCCTTCGCGATTGAAATTGCCAGAGTAAGCATTACATTTTTTTTTCTGATTGATTCGGCCGTTACTTGATGAAGATAGTAGTTTCAAAAACTACACCTCAAGATTCGATTTCCATAAACTCCATTTGAAAAATATATCACATGTTTCGCATGTTTCAAGTGGTTTCTTACACTAATATTTATATACTACAGGTAACCATACTTGACACTACCTCCAAAAAATCACCTAAATCTATACCTAAAGTACCTGTTCAATTATGATCACCTGAAGCATATTACCTTACATCTACATCAATAATAAAGACAAAACATCCAAATTCGAGAAATCAGGAGTATACAAATTAAAGAGTGGAACCTGTCCTAAGGTATATATTGGTCAAACTGGCAGAACATTCAGGAATCGAATCCAAGAACATCATAAGAGCTATGTGGATAAGAAAACACATTCAACATATTCAAATCATCTTCTAGAAGAAAATCATATATATAACGAAGAGTTCGGAATTTTGCACATAGGAAATAATGGTTCGAAACTGAGTCATTTGGAAGCAATGGAAAATAATAAACTTAGAAATTCAAACATTCTAATGAATGACCAACTGGATTTGAATATTGTTTTCTTTGATCTTGTTTTCTTGAAAACCGAGAAAGAATTATTATTGATGTAGATGTGAAGTAATATGCTTCAGGTGATCATAATTGAACATGTACCTTAGGTAGAGGTTAAGGTAATTTTTTGGAGATCAATTATGGTTACCTGGAGTATACAGGGGTGCGCAAAAATCCGGAATAAAATGAATATCTTTTTAACCAGTATTTTAGGGAAAAACGCTGAAACACATCAATTGATTTCACGTTGTACGCATTTTTTGGCAATAAAATGGATCTTTTTTTGAACCCCTTAGCTGCAACCCTCCCCAATTTTTTTTCAAATGCAAACCTATGTCGTGTATGGGCTCATTGAAAAGCTCGTAAAAAATGGATTCTGACCATCTCCTTCATTTTTTTTTGTGGTTACAACGAAATGAGAAAAAAGTCTTTTGGAAAGTTACAAATACCTAACTTAGTGCTATCTACGGGTGAATTAACGTAACAGATGCTGAAATTGGCCTCCACCCTCTACTTGGCAGGCTCCTAGGCGATGGTAAAATCCGTCTACGGAATTCCGAATGGCCTCAGCCGGTATGTTATGTGATTCTTCTCTAATTCTGCTTTTTAGATCTTCAATATTAGCCGGCCTATTTTGATAAACCTAGTCAGGGGATCTTGGCGGCTATTCAATTGTACCACGTCGTCCAATCCAGCGTCCTGCAAACATGTCATCGAGGTATTCTCTAACATTAATACTAAAATGTGGAGGAGTGCTGTCCTGTTGGAATGAAAGTGTTTCAGTGGGGATATTTGGATCTGATTCATTGGGAAACATAACAGCTAAAGCAGGGACTAGTTCAAAGCGTAAAAAGTCTGAGTAGCGTGCAGCTGTAAGTTTTTCCTCAAAATAGTATGGCCCTAATATTCTGTTGTTGATGATGCCTGCCCATACATTTACTTTCTGATGACGCTGCGTACGAGCTTCGCATATCCAGTGTGGGTTTTCCTGACTCCAGAATCGATAGTTGTGCCTGTCAACTATTCCATCTAAATAAAAAGTAGCTTTGTCCGAAAAGAGTATGTTGAGTGGAAACCTATTATTCTCCTCACATCGCCTCATTATTTCCTCACAAAATTGCAAACGCCTGTCATAGTCATCTTCCAAGAGCTCTTGGACAAGACATACCTTATATGGGTGGTATTTTTTTGTTTTCAAAAACCTCCCTATCGTACGTCCAGACGAAGGATTCTTTTGGGCTAATGAAACCGTTAACAAATGTGGATCTTCCTGCAGAGATACGGCAATGTCCAATTTTTGATCTTTGTCTAAAACATGTGGCCGGCCACTTTTGGGCAAGTCCTTCACTGTACCATGTTCTTCAAATTTGTGTAAGATCGGTAGACTGGAAAATGTAATTTCCCGGATATTTTGCATTAAATAAAGTACACACCTCACTTTGACTCCGCATTTTATCCTCATATCCTAACAATATCAAGACTTCGATACGCTGCCTCTCTGACAATACCATTTTTGTTTAGCAACTTAAAAAAGAACACTTTGAAGGTACCCAATTAATAAACTAAACATACAATTTCACACAGAAATGCCACAATTTTAAAACTGAGTCAAGACAAAAGTTTTTATCAGGGCATTCATTTTGGTACAAAAAATGCAACACACTTTTTCTCTTTTTGAGGTACACTGGTCAACAATTGCTTGGGATGGAACTAATTTTATGTGTGAGTTTTTGGTGAAAACATAAAATCCACAGAATGTTGATGTTTGTTACATTACGTTATCAGTTTTACACATAAATCAATGAAATTTGTTGTAGTGTCTGGCCCGGTTGGTCAGTTCTTAAAATTTGTAAACTTTTAGAAAGTAGGAACTGGTGATCCTTAGCAATTGTTTAGCAATGTACATCATCACCACTTATTTGTTTTTCGCAACGTTAATTCACCCGTAGATAGCACTAAGTAGGTATTTCTAACTTTTTTGGTTTCAAAAGAGTTTTTTCTCATTTCGTGGTAACCGCATGAGTAAAAAAAATAAGGGGTATGGTCAGATTTCATTTTTTACGAACTTTTCAATGAGCTCATACACGAAATAGGTTTGCATTTGAAAAAAAAAGTTGGGGAGGGTTGCAACTAAGGGGTTGAAAAAAAATATTTCATTTCATTGCTAAAAAATGCGTACAACGTGAAATTAACTGACGTGTTTCAGCATTTTTCTCCTAAAATACTGGTTAAAAAGATATTAATTTTATTCCGGACTTTGGCGCACCCCTGTATAAATATTAGTGTAAGAAACAACTTGAAGTATTCAAATCACTTGATAAAGCTACTGTGCTAGCGAAACATGTTGTGATATATTTTTCAAATAAAGTTTGTGGAAATTGAATCCCAAGGTATAGTTTTTAGAAGTAAGCATCAACTATTTTATCAAAGTACGATTATTTTTGTGCAATCAAAGTCGAAAGTCATGAAATCCAATGAAATGATTTCAGAGTATGGATATCGCATAAACGAATAGAGAGTAGGTAAAATAGTGGAAAGTTTGTCTATTTTCGGATACTATTGGGATACTATAGGGTTTGCGAAGAGTCGGAAACCCTAAAAATCCATAATCATATTTTTGTTGGTATCTTCTATACAGAAATATTGAAAATCGGTTTTTTTTTCAGTAACTTTCGAAGAACTATCAAAATATTTTTGTACACTCCAGGCTTTGACATTTCAACTGGAATTTTTAATTGGTAAAAACATAAAGAGATAACCCGAGTCTCATAAAATTAAAACCAATATTATGACGGAATTATTGGATTTCATTGAAAATTAGAAACAGTTTGTGGGATTAATTCTTCTCTTGATATAAACATTCTGTTTTTAGGTTATTTTTAAATTGAGAATTGAAATTTCAACCATAGCGAACAAATAATATGTCCAATTGTTATCGAATTTATCTACCGGATGGCAATTTCAATTTGGTATTCAAATATCTACTTAATGAAAAATAACAAGTTGAGGAATCGTTTACACCCATTTACACCCGTTTTCCTTCTGTATTTATTTCCCAATTAGAATTTGTGATGTCGTATATTGAAGATGGAAAATATTGGGATGCCCATTTATCACACACTGAATTGTTTTTTATATCAAAATTTGTATGTAATTCACACATAACAGAAATAACTTATACATTTCTACACATCATATCTCTCATTTCATTTTGTATTCACTGTACTTATTTTTATGATTACATCCAGTCTGAGCGCTGTGAAGGCTTTAATATAAAGATTCACGTACACATTGAAAATTACTGTCTTGTCTATTCACTAACACATTCACACATATTTACAATACATATATAAAAAAGTTGCCTACGTTATTGTACTCTGAACTCTTCAAAAACACCTTTACCTCAGATTTGCCTTCAACGAAATACCTTATCTTTCTGATTTCTATAATACTATGTGGTTCTGAGGTAAAGATTTACAAATAGTCAGTCTCTGACAATGTTCAACCATTGCCTTGTTCAGGTTACTGTCACAAAATCTTCAATATGAAGATTTTTATGGTTTCTTAAAAATAGCTATCGATGTTAATTAGTTCTGCCACACCTTCGTTCCTAACTTTTTTTAAGGGAGGGTAGAATTTATTCGACAGAGGTGTGTCTGTAACGTCAATAATTCGTGGATATGTCTCATTTTTGAACATGGTTTCGCTTAGCCTGTACACCCCCGTATGAGCTAATGATAGGTAGTGGAGATGTACTAATGGTACGAAACTTTTTGCTTCGATGGAGAATATTATGTTATTGTCCATCATCAAATTCCTCAACTTTGGTAGTTTGTAGAAAGTTAGTTCATATATTTGTTCGATTTTGTTGTCTGTTAATATCAAAGTTTCCAAAGAAGGCGAATTCAAAAAAGGTTTGTCGGGATGAAAACCAATTTTATTTAGAGACAAGTCGAGTTTTTCCAACCTCGGATTACACTTGAAGGTGCCAATTTCGATGCCACTGATGTTATTCCCAGATAGATCAATAATCTTCAGATGTCTAAGTTCTCTGAACGCTCTTTGATTGATCATGGATATTTTGTTCTGACAAAGTTCTATTCTGCGAAGAGATTTATAACCCATGGTAAAAAATATTGCTGATGGTAGTTCTCTGATTCGGTTATAACCAAAATTTATGGACCTAACGTGGTATGATCCTTGAGGAATTTTTTCCAAACCAACTCCCATCTTAATTATATGTTGTGGAAGTTCTTCTGATGCATTTATATCGACTGTATTTGCTGTTTCCGTTGTTGATGTTGAACAAGATCTGGAAATAAAAATAATTTGAGTTGAAAATATTTTATGTGATCTGAGAAATAAAATTTGATGAAACATAGAAAACATAGGCGAACTGTTATTACATAAATTTTTGTTGATTGCATCAGAATTTGTAATATTGGCAGTAATACAAATTCCGATGTAATCAACAGACATGTATGTAATAATAGTTCACCTACCAAGTTTTCTTATTAATCAATACCTAATCTTGGAAATTTATTTTCAAATATCATAAAACTTTTTCATATTGAACAAAATATAAAAATATGCCAAAAAATATTGAAACTATAAATAATTTGAATACCAAAATAAAAGATAAAACTGATACTACCAAAAAGTCAAATGTGATTTATAATATTATTTGTAAAAATTGTAACTTCGATTAAATTGGAACAACATCTAGAATTCTTAAAGATAAAATATCTTCACATAAAAGTTATATAAAGCTCAATAAGAAATCATGTGAATTAGCGCAACATTCTATAGAAACAGGATATGAACCAAATTACTCTAAAATCAAAGTAATACATAGAGAAAAAAATATTTCCAAACGCTTTTTTCTTGAAATGGTTGAAATTGATGAGTCTTCTGATTGTATGAATGAGAAAATCCATACACGTTTAACTTTTTTCGTCAATTTTATGTTCAATTCATTGTTTCTCACTCATCTTTATTGTAGGTCGTTAGATTGACGAAGGGCATAATAATTGGAGTAACCACTAAATATCAATTTATGTTTGTTAATTAAACATACTGTTTCTAAAATAAAGATTTCAAAAACTGCCGATTTAGCGGCAGACAGATGACAAACCAAAATCCTTATTTATAAGTTATTCTCACTGCAAAACACCCTGAAGCTTTTTATTGAGGGTTACAATGTGATCGGCGATTTTGAGTTTATTGTCAATTAGTTCCCCCAAAAATTCAGTACTAGGTTTGTTTTCAGTTATCCTGTCTGCGTCCTGTGTTGGTAAAGGAATGCTGTCAATAAAGCGGTGGAATGATATTCAATTTGTTTTGGAAACATTGAAAGACAGCATATTAGAGTCGCAACACTATTTTATTTTTTTATATATGTAATATCGTGGAGATTACATAAAGTCTTATCACGCCATAATATTGTCCTCCTTAATAACACCAGAGGTGTGACTATTCGTGCGGAAAAAATGTATAACTCTGAGCTCACTCAGTGTTCTTACGAAACCTTTGAGGTATGGAGGCCCCCTCGTCGTAGGAAGCCTTGTCATGGCAATGCCCTGAATAGTATAACTGAATGGGCCGACGAAGGAGGGAGCCCACCGAAATGAACAATAGAAAAATTCATCAAGACGACCAAAATGGAAGGTCTAGGGTTTCTGAAATTTTGAGGTATTTGTCAGAGTAGGTCAAATGTCTGAGAGTGATACAAGATCCCAGATCAACCTGAAACAAACTTTTGAAAAAGGTGAAATGAAAGGGCCTATGTAGTACTCAAGCTGGCTGGAACCACTTGCTAAAAGACATGGGAGTTGAAACAAAACCCATGATAACATATACACATATGATCTGATGGCTAAAGATGGAACAAATGACAGCTACCACCAGCAGGATGCAATGACTGGCTTGCCTGGGAAAAACAGGTGCAATGAACAATACCATCAGCAGCATCAGAGATATTTTTCCTTCATTCACAGACGGGTTAGAAACCGAACATGGAACTGAAGCTGTATTTACTGTGCAATTACCCACTCGATCAGTATACGTAAGTCTTCCATGCTGAAGAATATTTTTACAATGAGCCAGGCTGCACTTGGGGCACTGACAAACTGAAAAGTGGCATCCAGACTGCTCTGGGAATGCCGTGAAGAACTGGGAAAACTTGCGGATAGATCAGAAACAGACAATACTGGTAAAACACAGCTGGGGATTACACACAGGAAAACCTTTATAAGGGGACTTTGCGAAAAGTGAAATCAAGAACTATTTCGATAAAGCAGGGATGGGGTCAGAACAATCATAGGCTACTCACTGGCCACTGTTCATTGAAAGGCATTTGAATAAAATAGGACTGTGAAACGAAGAACTCAACTGAAGACAATACAACAAAGGGACATTGACAGCAAGGAAGCTATACAAACTAGGACTGTTGGAATAGGTGTCACGAAAAAGATAGAAGTCAGCCCATCAGGCTGTATGTGGAAGAAATAAACTGTAACACGCCATTTTTCCATTTTATATTATTTGGGAGACAATCTGAACAAAACGAAATTCTTTTTACCAAATTGGTTTTGTAGATTGTAACATACCAATTATTTAAAATTTTCTTTTTCTATTTTCTACCAGTTTATGGTAGTACTCCAAATAAATCATAATCAGAATGCGGACTCACATTAGGTATTCGAATAGACGTCTTACTAGTACTCTTCTATTTTTGTTCAGTCATAGAGTTCAGTCACTATCATTTCATTTCAGGTTTATTGTTGCTCAATATAATTGTTATTTTCAACTATTCTTTTTTAATTATTCTTTTTTACTTGTTTCAGGGATTTCAAATCATTTTATATAGTAGACAATGGAAGTCCGAACTAGTGAAATTCATCACGAAACATTGTCAATCACCTTCAAACAAACGTTGAAATTGTTGGTTTTAACTAATCGTAGAGTAATTAGAAGTTTTCCACACAGAATTGTGAAATCACAAAATTATAAAAGGCATACGATCATAAAAGGCACAAGAACCAATAGAAGTGTAAGAACAATTTCTGGAAAATGAAGTTTTTGGCTTTTTACTATTTCATTTTGATACAAAAAAATGAGAATCTTCCAAAGAAAGGAAGGAAGCAATAAATTTGAAAAGAGGTAACTCTATAGATGTAGTTCATGCAAAGAAGTAACTTTCAGATACAAACTGGAAGAAAAAGCCCTCCACTAGAAGGGTAGAAACTCAAATGAATTGAATAAACTGGACAAAACGAGAAGATTGTCTTGGACGATGCTGGAGACTACAGGAATTCCGCATCTTGATTAAGTTCATTTGGAGGAGTATCATACAATAACCTTGAATATTCTTGGTGGTTTCTGGAAAAAGGATTTTGATCAGAGGTTGTAAGGTTCAGTGTATTAAACCCTAGGAAAAGACTCTGTACTCAGTTATATTCTCCATTAAGGCCAGAGGAAAGGCCAGGAAAGAGTAGAGAATTTCAGAACATTGACTCTCCGATTTCTTTATAGAGTGACAATTTATATTCAATATTGATTTGTAAATTTATTCATTACGAAGTTGGAGATGCAAAACCCTATTGAAACTCTTAAATAAACTGTGTTCCTTGTTTTATTGGTATTCTTAAAGTGTTTCCTATTCCTGTGTAAGTGAGTTGGTCTAGAGTGGCAGGTATTGAAAAGGGTACAGTATTTCTGTAGATTCTATCCAAATAACAGCTTTCAATTTGGTAACTTTGTAAGTCACATGAACACAACCATTTTTGGGATTTCCTAAATTGAATGCATAGTACTAACTTAGAGAAGACCATTTCGTTCCCAGAAAAATCAGGAATATTTCTTGAATAACACCGCCAGGTCATCTTTGAAAGAACAAAAAAAAGCAGATAATGATCACCTCATATACCATGTCTCGATTATTTATCATTATTATTTTCTTCAAATGCGTCAATGAAACAATTTTTCCCATTTTCAGATTCAATTTTACTCAGTTCTTTATTTGCTAGCTAACGACCGATTTCATAAAGAAACATAAAGGTTACTTTAACTTTAATAAATATTTTTGATTTCATAACCAACCTAAAGTATTATTTGAGTCAAAAACATCCTTTAACGTTAAAGTGTCCGCTTCGCTACTTTAACTCACTAAAGTGTCATCAACTTCAACAATAAGTATTTTTGATTTTAAAACCAACTTAAAGTATTCTTTGAGCCAAAAACGTCCATTAAGATTGAAGTGTCGGTTTCTCTACTTTAATTTACCAAAGTGTTATTTAATGACAATATAACCTCAATTTTTATAATTGTGATTTTTTGTGCTACTCGCTACGTTTGCTAGCTTTGTGTTCGTTTAGTCGTCGATCATAATAATATGAATAATTTTGAAACGTCTAGCGCAAGTTCATCTGATGAAGAATTCATTCATACCAGAAGATCAAAAGTGTATAGGAAAAGAACAGACTGTTTTGAAAAATATGATGAGCTTGACTTTCACCAACGTTTTCGCTTAAAAAACAAACTGTTTTGTATCTACTATATGAAATGAAACAGCAAATTGAATTACCTACTAATAAGTAAGTAATACATTTTTTATTAATAATAGAACTATCAAAAAATTTTATTTAATTTTTAGAGGTGGATGCATGACACCATTACAACAATTATTGTTCACTTTAAGATTTCACGCATCAGGAAACATGTAAATAATAGTATCAGATTTTATGGGAGTGTCTAGAAGTTCAGCTAGCAGGATTATCAAAAAGGTGTCTATTGCTATTGCCTCACTAGCCCGACGACACATTCGAATGTATGAAAATAATCGATAAACGGAAGAGACAGTCGAAACATTTTATGCAATAGCTTCATTTTCCAAGACCATTGGAGCAATGGATTGCACATTATTTTCCAAAATTTCCATTTTTGTCCGAGTAAATCGTCCTCACAAATAATAAAAACACCTTATACCACAATTTTTAACCTTATTTATTTAAACACGGAACGGAAAAACTCGACAAATATGACCAATCTTGTCAAAATCCATGAATTCCAGGTTAACCAACATCTTAAAAATTACTTCAAAGACACTTATGTAAATGGCATTTTAATTTCAATTATGAAACCAAATGAGGGCAACAACTACTTCAACGGGTACTTTAGTGTACAGTCTCCTTTCGGTAAAGTGGACTTCAGATATTGATTAAGAAATCGGCTGTAAGTATTTTTGCGAAAAGACAAAAGAGGTTTGTAGGTTAGGTTAGGTAAGGTCTCGAATTTGAAACGATTATTTGGGGGAGATATGTGAAGTAATCATTTTCATTTTGAATGATCCCAATTCAATCATTTATCATTATTATTTTCTCCAAATGCATCAATGAAACAATTATTGCCATTTTCAGATTTAATTTTATTCAGTTCTCAATTTACTAGCTAAGTATTTTTGTGAAAACACAAAACAGGTTTGTAGGTTATAGATCATACAGATCAAAAATATTTTGAACAAAATTTGTTTTCTTCATTTATCATATTAGACATTAAATACTATAATTACACAATAAATTCTGAAATATAAATAATATGCTACACAATTCGCCGGTAATTAGATAAAATTGAACGTGCATAGTAAGTCCAATGAAGATTAAGTCGTTGAATACCCATTGAACCCTGAAATGAATACTATGTATATGCATCTTCGTTTCTTCAAAACTTATCTTGAAACTGGCAGCTGGGACATAAAGAACATTCACGTGTTTTGAAAACAATGTTTTGTACTTTTACTTTCATGTCAACAAATCATAATCTCCAACAGAAGAGGTTGTGATGACCCGATGACAAAAAATGTATGTTATACATCTATACATCACTGTGTCTGCGTTGAAACGCAGACACAATTCAGAACTTAGTCAGAAAAGAAAGCCTCAAATTTACGTAAAGAATAATATACCACCAGATCAAACAATCAGAAATCAAGAAATGTGTAATTTCAACATATTTTGGAAAAAGAATAGACACAATTGCAGGATTTTTCAGAAAAAAACAATGTGGAAGTGGCATTCAGACCACATGCCAGGTGGTTGTGTCTTTTAATGCCAAAGATAAAGTGAGCAAGATGGAGAAATCTGCAGTTTATGAGCTTAAAGTGTCCGGAGTGTAATAGTGTTTATGAGGGACAATATGGCAGAAATTTCTCAAAACGGTATGCAGAATATGAAAAGTCCTTTAGACTAGGTAAAAATGATTCGACGTTTTCAAACCATTCCTTGGAATGCATCCACAAGTTCCCGAATCTAAACGATACGGAAATTTTGCACTATTTAAGCAAGGGTTGGAAACTCAATTATTTGGAATCCTTGGAAATTCACAAGCTTAAGCATTGCGGATGTAACCTATTGAATAACCAAATCGACTCGGTTTACTCGAAGGTTTTCAAATCAGAGTACCCACATTGTCACAGGTAATTAAAATTCAGATACTCAATTGAGTTAAAGACGTCTGTTATTACCTACAGTGATATATATGGGTCAACATTATCATTCATTTCAGTTTATTGTTTTCGTTCAAAAGTGTCCGTGTAGGACGAAACTGCAGTAACGTTAGTTACAAATACAAGTAGTATAAACACATTGGAAGTTTCACTTCTCAATGTTGATGATGATTTCCTACCACGTAGTAACGGCTTCATCCCTCAATTCATTGTTTTTGATCCTTATGACACCATTTTTCACCGAATGTTCTCTTGACCATTTATGAAGGCATTGAATTTGAACATGTAGTGATTGGTGTAGTATACTATATAGAAAAAATGAATTTAACGTCTTTATAATGATGACGTGACTGTTCCAAGCAGGTTTCTTAATAACTATTACATTTTCAGAATGTTGAAACAATTGATGGCATGATAAATCGAAAGGAGAATGATTCCCACTCAGACTTTTCCATTTCCAAAGAAGCTGCTGATAGAGAACTATCTTCTAAGGCAAATGAGAGAGAAAAATCATATAACTCAGAAGCGAAAAAGAGAGAGCCAAAAATAGAGTTTCTTCTAACCTCGAGTCTTTCTGTGTCCTCCTGAAGCAATAATCAGAGTGATACGTGAGGTATCATTGGATTTACTGCTAGACAACCCGTGGGTTGGGCTACCTATCGAGCGCGTCTCTAGGTGGTGGATAAGGGAACGGCCAGGGGACTGGAGGCCCTGTCCGGAAAGCCAATGTGGCCTTATGGACGGGGTCGCCGGACTCCTGGTCAGTAGTAGAAATAAGTAGGGTGAGGGGAACTAGAACTCCTCAAAAGCCTTTGCAAAACATGGTACCGTGTACCAGCCTACCCAAGCTAAGATGTGAGGAATCGTGCCAACAGCTGAATGGCCGCAGGGTGATATGCGGTTACGAATGATCACCTTGGGAAACTGGGCGAAACCTCTTCGTAATCAGCCTATCTCTGGTAATGCGGGGCTTTGCCGAAGGTGACCAACTTTTTTTTGCTACGCTTGGGAACGCGGAGGCTACCGTGAAACACCTCAAGGTTGCCAAAGAGAGTGTGTGTTCGGTTTACCTCTGCATGGACGGTGTCTAGTGAGTCAGTCACCTTGTGATTTCTGAGTTAATTGACTTTTCTTCTATTGAAGCATTTCTCCGTTCTTTTCTCAGACGGTCCCTTATAAAGGGTGTGTATCACTAAGTATTATTTCACTATTCTCTTCGTTTCTCTTTGACACATTTTCTGAACTGATTCCAAACAATGATTTAAAAACTCCATAAACAGTTCTGGGCTCATATATGGAGATGATGATCTATTTCTGGTACACTCAACTCTTCGATTGTTAGTGATTCTATCGTATCTCAGCATCCAGTATAGAGTCAACATATTCATCAGATTTTTTTTAACAGTCCTTCCAAACTAGTCTGGTATATATTTCGGGTTCATCAGTACCCTGGATGTTGAAGGAATAATAATGTGCTCATTTCGTTGCAGGACACATTTAAAATTTCGTCTGGAGGGATGGGTACTCGTACTGTTTGTACGTTCACAGAATGTTCTTGCCCATCCCATCGTAAGAGTTTGGTTTTGTAACAAATCTCGACATTTCTGTTGGCTAATCCTATCTTACTCGCAGTAGCATCATGAGAGACCAAAGAAGAAACTCTTTGTCCTCTGTTTGATTTGTTATTAGCAGTCGCTTGTTTCATCACTTTCTATCTATCTGATATCCTAGGTCCTTTTGAAATAAATACGTCTAACTAGCATCAGTGATTTTCTTTTGGAAATTTCTTTCCAGGTTAGTCTAGGGTCTGTATAACTCCCAAATATAACTTCCTTCAATAGTTGCATTTCAAAATTTTGAAGGTCCTAATTCCTTCTTCTTGGAGGTAGAGATTCGTGTAATAGATCAACGTGCTATGATTCCGATGTTGTTTAGAGACATCACTAATATAATTCTGCATGAATGAAAAATACTTTGAGATTAGTTTCTGGACATAGTGAGACACTGCCTTTGAAGATATCACCGACTCTATGCTACCGAAATCCTCTTGATAATTGCTTCGATAAGAGTAATATACGAGGTTTACCAAGAGTTTCGGGACAGTCATGTAATTCCTTTGTTTGCAAAGCTATTACTGTCAGATTTGGTATGTACATAATATAGTAATGTTTTGATTTGGAACAGTAAAAAACCGGTGTAATCCTTTTTTGATAGAATTCTTATAAAGAAAACCTGTTATCGATATTTTCAAATTTATTTCTCCACTGCGGGTTAGAAACTAAAAAACTAAGGGGTATCTGAATGAAAGAATTGATAACTTTTTTGACTGAAATGAAATTTTTCAAAAAATTGGCATTCCGATCAATATATTTTTTGTTCACTAATGTAGAAACAATTTGACATCATGAAAAATCCGTTTTTTTGAGTTCTCACTACAAACGATTTGTAATTTAGAAAAAAAAACGAAAGTCGTTTTATACCTGTGAAATACTCGAAATATAAACACAATTTTACGCACGTTTATACCTGTGAAATATTCGAAATATAAATACAATTTTACGCACGTCCATGAATTCACTACAAAGTCTTATGAATATATGGATGTTAATTAGATAATATGTATCTTTCTCTGATAAAGGCGCTAAAAATAGACATCCCAACAAAAAACATGGCCTCAAAAACTTTCAATATTTTTTATAATAAAATTAATAAATATTAATCATTTTGAAACTTCATTCAACAAAGGAACTGTATTCTGTATTGTTGTTATTTTCATTTGAGCTTGATCGTATTCTAAAAAAAACATGATGATTCTCCTAGCACGTATTCGCGAGGAAAAATTTCTACTGGTGAACTTATTTGATAATCATGCTTGACTCACATTGTCACTTTCCAAAGAAAAAACGTCAAGAAAACAGCACAGTAATCCATTTTATAATCGTAATAAGCACTACTTGTAGGAAAGCATGTACACTAAAATGTCTTCTAGTAACATTTAACTTTATCTTCAGTATTGCGTCACAACACAGCGCCAAATTCAAACACTTTGTATTACCAATTATCACTACTATCACCTCGGGCCAGATTAGCGAGTCAAAGGTCCTTTTTGAGGATCAACGAAGGAAATTTTTAGTTGTGAACCGTTCTGTGAAAGATTAAGATTGGACTAACTCAAAAAAATTGCATTTTGAATGAACGCTCATTTGCCTCACAAATATTTAAACAAGGTTATCAAGAATTTATCTCTTTTATAACTTTGTCCAATTAAAAATGTTGATAACTTGAGGACGATGCACAACAGTGTGAGTTTTAGAGGTCGTATGTGGGGCCCAGATTTCCATATTGAGAGTGAATTATTTTAGTAAGATTCTTTAAACAATTGTTATTAGTGAAATTAGTGCGTTGTGGTAGAAAGTGATAGAAGTCTGTGATCTTCATTCGTGATCGTGTAAATGTGTGAACAGTGTGTGTAACAGTTGAATTATATATTTCAGATATGTCAATAAAACCATTCATTTTTCAAACCGGTATTTGAGAACTGGAGGACAGAGTAAAGTGAAAATAATTTAGAAGAACTCAAGAATACTCTCAAGTTCAGCGGCTTACTGTTCTCACAATACCAAATTTTTTTCGTTCGAAATAATAGTTTTCCTACTCCTAGGTGAATGATTTTTATTTCAGATGCATACAAAATTGTGAAGCTTCAAACCTCCACCTACAATCCACTCAAAAAGTAAAATTGTTTAGAGGAAAATTCGTAAATATTATTTTTTGTGAAACTTTAATGAAACGAATAAAAACACTTTTGTGCGTGCCACTAGTAATTTTATTTGTAGGACCGGTTTCTGGTTTTATCACATCATCAAGTATAAAAGTAACATGTAAAGTCTGAAAAGTAGGTTATATAGGGAGTTTTTAGGTGAGCCTGAAGACGAGGTTGTTAAATAAAATTCAACACAGAAGATTATAAGGTTGTCAAACTTATAAATTCAAGAGTGGAGACCTACATAAATCCAGTTGCTCGTATAGGGGTATCTATTTCGGGTTTTCAATTGATTCATTAATTTCCATGGCTTCCAACAAATTCATTTACATGGCTTCATTGCATATGTATAGGATTTTGGGGTTATCTTTACATTATGTAATAAGGGAAAGAAAATGAAATTGTTGGAAGCCATGGAAATTGAGGAATATATTGAAATTTTTCTTGTAGCACAATTATTTTTGTTCAGCTCGAAAGTTTTCGAAAATAATTAAAAATCTGGTTGAGCTTTTCTTTCTGGTAATGATATTACTGGCGAGGACCATATACTTTTAGATTTCTCAATTACGTCGATCTTCAACATCTATAATATATTTTCTACAAATTAAACCTTCATCATGTTGAGCTTGATTTTCAAAATTTTAGTGTGCTATATCAAATTTGTCCAAGTTTTAATTACTTTTCAATATTTAATTCCAGCAGATTGGTTCTTTTTTTATCTCTTAGGGATTTGAACCGAATTTATTTTGGACATTTGTGTTCATAGTCACTTTGTATTGTTTTTGTCAAGAAAATGGGAGATACAATGCAAATCCTCCTATGCTGATAGCCCTGGTGTCAACTAGTGTCAGTAAGGAAGATACAATACCCACTGTATGGTTATTCTGTTCAATTTAAAAAATATGTTATTGTTATTGAAACTGAATCTTTCTTAATTCGAAATATCACATTTGGGCTATTGATACAGAAAATCACCTCATATACTAGCTGAAGTAAAATTTGTAAAAATGAGAAATTGAAAGATATGATCAATAGTCTCGAGTATTACTATGTTAACGGCTTGGTTGTGTAACTTATTTCATTTCACTTCTCAATTCCTGTGGAGAGATTATTTGGTTTTCCCATCTACAATCACAAGTATGCTATATTACTTTCACCTTTTTTTTTACTTTCAAAAATTGTCATTATCTATTGAATCAGAGTCTCTTTTATTTCATTGATAAGATATTTTCATATTTCCGGTATTTCTTTCCCAATCTTCTTGAGCTTTTTGAAACTATCATTCAGCATATTTCTTTCAAGTATATTTCTCCCTAATTTTATGAAACTCTTTTTGGATTTTTTTCCTGACGTTTCGCTAGCATGCGTGGATAACTTCTTTATGGGTGCTTTCATTTCATATGTTGAAAATAGGCATGTGAGCATGTGAGATGGTACCGAAAGCATATCAATTTCTATAATTCCCAAGTATTTTACTGCATTCTTGATCAGTACCTGTAGGTTACATCTGAATATGATTTGTGGATTTGAGAAAACAAAACTT